AGCCGACACCCAAAATCAGAACTGTGAGACACAGCCAATACCCAAGTCAGAACTGTGAGAAACAGCCAGCACCCAAGGTCAGAGCCGTGACACACAACCAACACCCAAGGTCAGAACTGTGAGACACAACCAACACCCAAGGTCAGAACTGTGAGACACAGCCAACACCCAAGGTCAGAGCTGTGACACACAGCCAACACCCAAGGTCAGAACTGTGAGACACAGCCAACACCCATGGTCAGAACTGTGAGACACAGCCGACATCCAAAATCAGAACTGTGAGACACAGCCAATACCCAAGTCAGAACTGTGAGAAACAGCCAGCACCCAAGGTCAGAACTGTGAGACACAGCCAACATCCAAAATCAGAACTGTGAGACACAGCCAATACCCAAGGTCAAAACTGTGAGACACGACCAACACTCAAGGTCAGAACTGTGAGACACAGCCGACATCCAAAATCAGAACTGTGAGACACAGCCAATACCCAAGTCAGAACTGTGAGAAACAGCCATCACCCAAGGTCAGAACTGTGAGACACAGCCAACATCCAAAATCAGAGCTGTGAGACACAGCCAATACCCAAGTCAGAACTGTGAGACACAGCCAACAACCAAGGTCAGAACTGTGAGACACAGCCAATACCCAAGGTCAGAACTGTGAGACACAGCCAACACCCAAGGTCATAACTGTGAGACACAGCCAACACCCATGGTCAGAACTGTGAGACACAGCCAACACCAAAGGTCAGAACTGTGAGACACAGCCAACACCAAAGGTCAGAACTGTGAGACACAGCCAACACCCACAGTCAGAACTGTGAGACACAGCCAACACCCACAGTCAGAACTGTGAGACACAGCAACACCCACGGTCAGAACTGTGAGACACAGCCAACACCCAAGGTCAGAACTGCAAGACACAGCCAACACCCAAGGTCAGAAGTGAGCCACACCGCAGTATGGGGGCACTCTGCTTGCCCAAGGTCAGTGCGGGACAGTCTACTTGCCCTGGGGACAGCACTGTAACACTTTGTTTCTTCAAGGTCAACATGGGCATGCTCTGCTTGCTCAAAGGTTAGCACGGTGACACTCTCCTTGCCCAAGGTCAGAACGGTTACATTCTGCTCACACAAGGTCAGAATGGTGAAACTCTGCTTGCCCAAGGTAAGAACGGTGAAACTCTGCTTGCCCAAGGTCAGAACTGTGAAACTCTGCTTGCCCAAGGTCAGAACGGTGACACTCTGCTTGCCCAAGGTCAGAACGGTGACACTCTGCTTGCCCAAGGCCAGCATGGTGACACTCTGCTTGCCCAAGGCCAGCGTGATGACACTCTGCTTGCCCAAGGTCAGAACAGTACTCTGCTTATGCAAGGTCAGTACGGTGACACTCTGCTTATGCAAGGTCAGCCCGGTGACACTCTGCTCGCCCAAGGTCAGAAAGGTAACACTCTGCTTTCCAAGGTCAGAACGGTGGTACTTTGCCTGCCCAAGGCCAGCGCTGTGGCACTCTGCTTACCCAAGGTCAGAACGGTGACACCCTGCATACTCAAGGTCAGAACGGTGACACTCTGCATACGCAAGGTCAGAACAGTGGCACTCTGCTTAGCAAGGTCAGAACAGTGACACTCTGCTTGCCCAAGGTCAGCACTGTGACACTCTGCTTGCCCAAGGTCAGCACGGTGGCACTCTGCTTGCCTAATGTTAGCACTGTGACACCCTACTTGCCCAAGGTTAGCACGGCGGCACCCTGCTTGCCCAAGGTCAGCACAGTGACACTCTGCTTGCTCAAGGTCAGCACGGCGACACTCTGCTTGCCCAAGGTCAGCACGGTGACACTTCACCTGCCCAAGGTCAGCACTGTGAACCTCTGCTTGCCCAAGGCAAGCACCGCGACACTCTGCTTGCCCAAGGTCAGCATTGCGACA